CCCATCTCTTTCAGCTTCCCCTTGTGTGAGAGATGCCCTTGTTCATCATGCTTGTGGCCCTGTTCTACATTCCTCCAGTCTGTACTGTCTCTTGCATTGATGCATCCAGGAGTGGACTAACACTCCAGGCATGTCTCACCAGGGCTAATCACAGAGGAAAGATCAGCTCTTGAACTGCTGGTAACACTCTTCTTAATGCAGTCCAGAAGGCTATTTGACATATTTGTCATGAGGGCAGATTACTGGGTTGTGGTGAGCTTGGGGCCCTGGGTCCTTCCCTGCCAAACTGTTTTTCAGCAGGGTGACTTGCATATACAGGCTGAGCTTGCAATTGCAGGACTTCCCACTTCTCTTTATTCAACTCCCTTCATGAACCTTCTCTTGGCATTTTTCTACAAACTTTTGAGAGCCCTCTGAATGGTGGCACAGCCCTCTGGTGTACAGAGGTGCACTTGATACCCTGCAAAATCTCCTGCTACTCTTGCCATTGGGCTTCTTTCAGCTTGCCAACTTCCTCAGCTTCCCTCAGCAGCTGTTTACCAGATACTCCATTAGTCTCAACATCTGTAATCTTCAGATCCTCCCCATGCCAGAGAGAGTCCAGCTCTCCTACTGGGTGTTGTCTCTACTGTGCCATTCTTAACCCCAATGCTGCTGCTCCCCTCAAGCTCCGTACCTGACATGTATTTAGGTACAGTAATTTCAACATGTAATTATGCACATAAATGTATGTGCTTGTTGGTGCTTTAGGAATGAGGACAAAGAGAACAATGCTGTGAGTGCCCCAGTCCATGTGCTGGAGACAGTTTCTATTGCCCTGTTAGAGCTCTTTTCCCTCTGTGGCAGCCAAATTCTAATTGAGGCTCTTGAGTTTTGTTTTTAGGAGACAAAACTTTGCCAGTAACTGGCTTGGTGCCACTTACCCGTCATGCGTGGAGGCTCCTTGGAGTGTCTCACCAGGACTCAGGTAAAGGACATGATGAAGCCCATGAGTTACCCAAGCTCAAATATTTGACAGGAAAAATGAGCAGGCCAGCTTAGCTGAGGAACAGCTACTCACATGCTTTGCTGGATGCCACAGTGTTGGTGAGAGGCTGGCCAGTTGTATCAGCATGACATTTGTTAAGTTTTTCTTGGTATCACATTGGTGACAGGAGGTCTGTGAAGCTGGTGCATTGGCAGTGATGGGTCTCACTCACCTCTGCATCCAGGGAGCCTGCCAGAAAATTCTGCTCTGTGGTATGAAAACCACATGCATTTTTCTTGCTGAAGTGTTAGAAGGCAAATAACTCCACAACATTTCTGCACTGTTATGTTTATTTTATTTATATTTGTATTCCATTGCTTCATCCATTATGATTGGTTTGAAAAGTAAACTTTCCTTTTCTTTTAATGACTACAACAGTTAATGTTGGTCTCTCTTCCCATACAGTCGAACAATTATTTAATAACAACTAAAAAAGTCCAAGACAAATGTGACAGCATTAAAAAAACTTAACACACCACACAGAGCTGATGCATGGAGGAAGAAAAGGAATCAACCACTTATTTCTCAGAAAGATGCATTCCCCTAAAAAATTACCAAAATTTAAAAAAAAGTATTTTATGGGAAGGAGCAGGGAGTGTACACGTGCATATGCTGATGCTTCCACATCCATATCCCCAAACACACAAAGATATGTGTATATATACACGCACATGCACAAACACAGACACACATGTATTAGACTGGACAAGTAACTTACTTTTTTCTTTGTGAGAAAATTATTATAAATTTTAATTATATTAATTATATCTATCTTTAAAACAGGAAAACTTATTAAAACCCAGAACAGAAACTACCTTAAGAGCTCTAACATATTTGGCTAAACCTTGGAAATCACTGCCTATTTAGCATAGGACACATAAAAAAATCAACTTTGATAACTTTTTATTTAAATGTACACCATCACCAGGTTCTTAGTGCTGATTTGGCTTGCTTTTGCCTTTGGAATATGCTCCATAATTATTAAAAATGTCTTTTATTAAAAATTTCTTCCAACAGGTAGGAAGAAATATCTGACCACTATACTGGATGCCCCAGTGTTATCCCCTTTCTAAAGCCCATAGAGCATGCTTTACTATAGCAATCATATTTCTATTTTACATGTAGTGACTATTGTTTTGCTGCTCTTGCAGGAACCTCCTGTTCTTGCTTTTATTCTTCTGAAGAGATGGTAAACAGCCATCTCTTGATGGTCTCTCTTCAGAGGGCATAGGTGAGAAGTAGCCCTTCTAGAGGCACGGAAGCAGGTGAGAAAGCTACTTTTTGTAACAGCAATGTCCTTGGGGAAGCAAAAGAAACACTGAAAGGCTGAAGGCTGGCTCTGAGACCTCCCATCCAGAAAATGAGAAACCTCAAGAACATGCAGAGAAGGTAAAAAGCAACAGGAAGGAGTAGCTTTTTGTGAGACATCTCCAAAATATGTAATTCATTTAACCCAAAGGTGCTTAAAGTCCTTTTAATCTGTTAATAGACACTTGACAAGAGTGGCTTCCCAACTACAAAGAGCATCATTCTCTGTATTCTCTCCACAGACAAGGAATTTGTGATCACTGAGGACAATGTTCACCCATTAAGTTTCTGCACATCTTGAGCTGTTGTCTGTAGGTCCCTGTAGAGTTTCACCTTATCTGTTTTCCTCTCTTTCCCTGCCTTGTTCTTAATGAATCCATTCATCAGGAGAGTCAACTTGCCTGATGTATGTTTTGCTGCTTTAGAGCCTGAGTTCTTGGAGAAAACTAGTAAGTTTCATAAGTCTCCAGCTTCTCTCAAATCTGATAAAAATCATCAATTTTGCTGTTGTGGATTAGTAAAAAACCCCACCCTTTAAAAGACTCTGGGACTCCATTGTTCATAAAACCTAAGGGAGGTTATGTTCAGATTTGTTTTGCATCACAGTTGTCATTAATCTATGTTAACACAAACCAGAAGTTCATTACAAAATCTATTATTAGAGAGACAGTCAATGAAAGTTCTCAAGTCTTTAACAACTGAAGTAAAGTTTGGTGTCATAGGATCCTTTCACAGCCTTTCATTACTTCAGAGTATTGCTGAGTTTCTATCAGTTGAAATGATTTCTCTATAAAGTCACTATGAAGTGCCTTGAAGCTTAACACAACAGCATCTTTAAAGGTAAGTATCAAGGAAAAGAATATGTAAGAAAAACAAAACCTGACTGAAGAACTAGAAAAATGATTAAAAAACCACAACAAAACAAAAAATCCAAACAATAAGCTCTTTTTTCTCTCTCCTTCCCCCACCATCCCCAATCCCAGAACAATGTGGAATGCTGGCATTATTAGAAACATATGTAATAATAAGATCAGGTAGAAAAAGCATTAACAAGCGAAACACGGTTCTGTCTGTTTGTGGCCCTGAGCAAATTACTGATGAAGCTGGAATACTTAATCAGAAGATTCAAGAGGAAGCTGCTTTTCTCTCACTATGGGAAGGGGTAAAATGATACTTTTACCTAGTGATGCCACATTCCAGACATTTGTATTTGCTTGTCAGCTACCACAGAGTGGAACAGGAGAGATGGCCTGTGGCATGTGATGGCCAGGTGGTGGCTCGCTGGGTGTGCTGCAGAAGCAAGAGTACCTGTTGGGAACTACTCAGCAGAAGGCCACACCTTGTCAGGTGGAGGAAGGGAACTCCATGTTCTTCCTAGCAGAATAAGCAACCAAAACAAGTACACTTTTCCCTCCTTTCCAGCTGGTTCATTTCCTGCGTAATAATGGGCTTTTACCATTACAGGGATTTTGGCCAGGTCAAACACAAATCCTCTAGAGTTCAACCCTGCATTTCACTCTTTTACTTCATACAGTGTGCCCTACCAGAAAATTAAACATAGGGGTTTGTGGGGAAAAAACCCAGTTAAAAAAAGAGGAAAACACTTCCAACTGATAAGTTTTGCATTCAAAAAAATGCATGCATTCACAAAAAGGTAATTGAATTTTTTCTCAAGTAATTTTTTTCTCAGCCTAATCTTCTGACTCAGCTGCAGTGAACAGTCTCAAAACAACATGTGGTAAGTAATGTAATAAAATGAAGACTAAATTATGCATAAAACCCCATGTTTTTCCATTTGTAAAGTGACTTTGTATAGTGACTTTGGCTTTGTATAGCGCTAAATTCCACACCTTTGCATCTTTATGTTAATCTTTTAAATATAGTGTTGCCCAGACTGAGAGCACCACATGGCAACTGTCCATGGTGGCAGTGAAATTCAAGTGCACTGCATCAGCTACAGCTTCATCTCAAAGAGTGCCACAGCCCAGGCACTTTGCAGGAGTTCAAAACACCCTTTATAAACAATTGGAAGTTGTAATTCCTGGCAGTTGCCAGCTACATGAACCACCCCAAAGAATTATATTTTTCATCTTTAAAATGAGGCAAACTCAAGAGTAGCTGTGGCAATGAATTCCAGAAGCTAGTTATGTCCTGCAGAAGTGCCAGCAGAACAGAAATAATCTGTGTGTGCATTCCAATCCCCAGAGAATTAACCTGATTGCAAAGACTGCCAAAGGAGGTAAGAACACTTAGGTCCATCCCCTTGAAAGCAAAGGATAATGCTGCTTATGTAGTTCTAGAGATGCAGAAAAGCTCCCATCATAGGTATACCAAATGTTCACAGACAAAAGCACTTTTTCCCAGCAAGAATTTTACAAGCCCTGATTTAAACAAGCAGGTAAATAAATCATCATGTGCTACAACATTGAGCTAGAAAATATTTGCTGTTCTTCTTTAGTGTCTGCTACCGCTCTATTTCAAATGTTCCAATCACTGGATACTCCATGAGATTTTCTTCTGTTTCTGTCTCAGAAGATGCAAACATACCTAAACTTATTCGAGGAGAAGGCAGCAACATGGTTCAGCACTCACCCAGGAAAAAGTAACTTTTCACAATAACACTAGTGTGCAAAATTCATTAGAAGGCACAGAATACACAGATGTGTTCCACTTGATTCCCATTTATTCAGAAGTATTTCTCTTGTGATATTCTGTATCACTTTCATTTTTAAATTTTTTTTTCAGAAGAAACCCTCCTCCGGGCATATTTGGCATAGAAGATTTGATTTGCTGCAATGGGTAGTTCTAGACTATCCATACATGTGTTCATTTTCCAGAATTAAGTTCTGGAAAAATGTATTGTGTTAGCCCAATGTATAAAGCAAGTCACATTACTGGGCACTGTTCAGCTGCAACAGGGGCCTTCAATTAGTCCTCCTGCTCTAACCTTTTTTACTACTCATCTTTACTGTATCTTCCTGCAAGTTACCCCAATAAATTCATTTTTCTCTGAAAAGATGAAATTTTAGGGTGATTGAGAAGGATCATTTTCCTAAGGGGATAAAAGGATATGAAATTACACGACAGATTGGTGTACTTCATTGGGTACTTCAGGAAAATGATGACTGTAGCTGGTTTTTTTTAATGTAATATAGAGATACTGAGAACATTTGCTGTCAGTCACAGCATGAATTCAAGGAAAATACCCCAGCACTGCAGAGCTATATTTGGATCCCTGTTCATGTATTTGAAATCAGAAATCCTTCCATTGTCATTAAATTATGAATCACAATGAAGCATACTCTGTTCAGCTGAAGGACATGGCTGTCTTCCTGGAAACACAAGGCTTGATAGCATTTGGGAATGGTGGCCAAGCTTTGGGTGGCCTGGAGCAGCGTAGGGGGCATTAAAGGCTAAGTGTTCTTTCATTCCAGAACCTCTTAATAGTCTGCTGCAGTTAGGAAAGAAAGCGCATACCAAGAGACAAAATAAAAAGAAAGCAAAATTGCAGATTTCTTTTCGAAACAACTAGTCTGGAGGTCAGCCAAGGATCTGAATTTCAGTAAAGCTTTAGCAGCAGGGGCACTGTCTGCTATTGTCTGTGGCTGAAGAGGTTCTTATCCCTGATAAAGGAGTTAGAACTGATATAATTCTTTTTCTCAATAATCCATGTTCTCAGCTGAGGTTCCTAGCAGCATATTTAGGGTTAACAACATTGACACTGGAGAGAAGCATTTGTGACAGTAACTGTGGCTCCCAACTTTGCTGCTTTCAGGGATGATCAAGCAGGCTCAGTCCATGAGGGCTGTCATATTCTTGAACCCTGCAGTAAGAAGGAAATTGGACTTTGCTTTTGTTCAGTGGGTAGTTTTTAGTGACACATCCTGGTTGTCATCTCTTTCTGTAAAACAAGAAGAGGAAATAAAAAAACAAATGGCATTTATGATAAAGTGTGCACAGGCCTCTTCACTGTTAGTATTTCTGCAACTCTGCAAATTCATGTGGTTTTACATGGCACCATGTTTCTGCCCCTTTCTGTCACTTTCAAGGACAATGAACATACCTGCATGTAAAATACAGCATTTTGTCATTTTGACAGCTTTAATAATGTAATAAATCCCTACCCATGTCAGGTAAATGGTGCTGCATCCCCCTGCCCTAAGAAATAAATCAACTGCAAATGCCAGAAACCTTTTAATTTAATGTAAGAAAAAGGATTCAAATCATTATCATTGAACCTGCAGCCAACAGGAGTCCTAGATATATCTTCTCTGCCTAGCTGTTTTACCCACAGGCACAAAGGGAACACAAACCTTGAGGACTTGACCAGAGCTGTGGCATTCATCTCCAGGATAGGGTTTTGGACCATTCACAGACTCGGTTAGGAACTGGGGCTTGGGATCCACATAGGATTTTATCTGATCTGATTTACAAACACTCTCATACAAACTCTCTAGTAACTGGCTGCCCTATTCTATAAAACTTCATATTTGTCAGCAGATTTCTGGAAAGGCATTATTTGACTAACAGCCATACACATACACCAGACCACACAGCATTTACCTTGGAAAATCAATTGAGATTTACCAAGTTACCAGAAGTCTCTAAAAAATCTCTTAGCTTGCTTGAATTTTTTTTTTATAATTTATCAGGTCATTACAATCTGATGCAAATAGCATCATGACAATTTTGTAACTGTATCCTACTCTGTGTTTAACAAATTACTTTTCTACCTAGAATCATACACATAATCATGGGACTTTCTCCTCCTTTTCTGAATCTTTAACTAGTTTTTCTTTCTTCTATATTTATCTTGCATTACTTGTTATTTTGTTGCCATGCACGTAGCAGAACGGGATGTTGTCATTTGTTATAAAGACAATGGTTATCAGTACAGGAGTTTATACAGTAATGTGTGATCTCCACAGTGATAAATACAGTAAACTGAACTAGGATTGCCTTCTCCTCCAATTTGTTAAAGATGACAAAGCTGACTGTTAATGGAAAAGTCTGTCTCCTTTTCTCCTTAAATGTTTTTGTGGATTTTTTTGGGAGTTGTTTTGTTTTGTTTTTTGTTTTTTTTCCTTAAATAGCTGGGATTAGGTTTATTTCATTCGAGCAACAAACACTCATGCAGAACTAAATAAAATTCAGCACAGTGTTTGACAGCTTCCTACTGAAGATTAATTAGGTGTCCAGGCATTTCAAGGCAGTTTTTATCTTTGCTGGCCCCTAATTTTACACATATTTGGTGTCTGCATGTTTGTAGTGTACTTCCTATAATCAAGGCTGATAGATCTGTAGGTAAAACACTGCAACTTCCTTCTGCAACTTCTGCTGAACAGTGATTTTCAGTCAGACTGTATCACCTTGCCCTGTTATAAAAACAGTCCAGGGAGTAATGTGGACCGTATCAGAGCCATTGTAAACTGGGGCACCCTCCTTCAGACACAGTGGGAGGCAAACTGCAATAGCATCAGAGGTAGGAGTCCAGATATGGATAAATGTGTCCAGGAAAAGGGCAGAGTAGGAACTTAGATGATCTATGCATAAGATGTAAACAAGAGGCCTTTATGACAGCCATGAAGCATGAACCTATCATGCCATTTCTAACTTCTCTCTAGAGGCAGAATTTATTTTTTATAGTAATACAAATTCTCCCAAAGCCTCTCTCTCCCTTAATAACTAAGGGTTTTTTTGTTATACTATTACATCCACAGTCTTCTCCCTAGACCCTATTTCTCCACCCTGTCAGGAGAACGGTGCTGCAAATGACTCTGTAACTTCCCTCCTGCAAGGCCTTCTGTCCCAATGGCTGCTAGGCTACAGTATTGGGAATTACCCCAAAACCGTAAAATCAGAAAAACATTTAACCTTAATAAACATTTGTCACCAACATCTTTTCATAAAAATCCTTTCTTTAGGATTTTTCCCCTTTCTGAGAAGCTGTGGCCTGAACAACAAAATGTAAACAATGGTTATCTGCTGCTGTGGGATGCAAAAGGTGCATCCATGATTGGTCTCCTGTGGATGTTTGGATTTACTGACCACTCACGGCAGAGCTGTTCTCACTTTCTGCCGGGACACAGAACTTTGTTATTTCATTCCTTTTCTATTCTTAGCATAGCAAGCTTCTGAGAACTTTTCTCTCTATTCCTATTAGCATAGTTATAATGTAATATATATCATAAAATAATAAATCAAGCGTTCTGAACATGAGGTCAAGATTCTCATCTCTCTTCACCTTGCAAAACCCTTGCAAGCCCTGTAACAAACATTGACATCACTGACGCACAGAAACATTCTCTGTATTGATGTATATTGTTAGTGGTAAATGAAGAACGCACACACAAGTACAGTCACAGTGCATGCCTGCATATATGTGAGCTTTTACTGATTTCACCCAATGACAGTGAATTAGATGTGCTTTAAAAAAAATAAAGCCCATGATTCCTGTGACAGTGAACTGGTGCAAGCTTTGTGGGAGTGACCCACTTCTACTTATTATTTTCTTAGAGGAAATCACAAAACAACCAGGAAATACTTTCTCAAGAGACTGACACAATTTGGATGCTGGCAAAGAAAAAGTTAGGTTCACTCAAAATGCTGGTGAGAAGGTGAGGAAAGGTCATACCCCTAGTATCCAGTCTTGGCTGGGTAGCAGCATGAGGCATGCTGTGTGCTGCAGAGCCTGCTGCTGAGCCTGTTACTGAACAAGCTGCTCCTACTTGCCAGACTCTGCCCCCTCAGAGATACCTACCTTTCAAAATTAACTGCCCCTCTTCTCAGAGCCTGCTGGCATATCTCTCACTGATTCTGATGGGCACCAGAGAACTTAGCACTCATCCCCCCCTCCACTCAACTCTGCAGAACAGTCCCCCTCAAACCTCACGAAAGATCTGATCCTTAGTTACTCTGCTGCTGCTGCATAGCCTTGGGTGGAGCACTGTGTAACAAAAAGCTAACAAAAGTTTTTCACTGTCTCCTGAGTCTGCTTGGGTTTGTGCTTCTGTGAAACATCAATGTTCATTTTAAATTGGGAAAGGTGGAGAAGAATGCTCTTGACTAACAGTTACTGATTAAAAGCACAAAAGAGTATTTCCCAAACACTTCAGATGACAAAAAACTATCAAATGACTCTTCTGAAAAGGCAGGAAGACTGGAAATGCACTTTGTCTTAAGGTACTGTGATACCCAATCCCAGCTGGATCTTGAATGAAATATAAAGGCTAGACAGACAAGGGAGTCAGAAAGTCAAACACAGAGACACAGACAGGCACACAGGAGCACTGAAAATATCTTCAAAACTTTCAATTTTTTTTTTTTTTTGCTTGTTAACAGAAACTCTCCACACCAGAACTTTTGATACCAGATGCACTTCCTTTTGAAAATTAATTACAAGACACTCCAGAGCATTATTCTGCATTCAGACTTACTCCTGCTCTCAATTCTGTATTACATAGTTAAATAAAAAAAAAATGAAGGCAGAAGTAGTTGTTTTTCAAATCCAAAATGCAAATCAGAAGCCTGGACCCATTCTATGTGTTGGATATGCCCAGGACTAGTAACTGAGGAGAATTTAACATGGAACTCACTTCTAAGGAACATAAAGAGAAACATTTGCTATTCTTTATGAAGTCCTTCAAGTATCTACTTACTTGCTGGAATTAATGGTAACAAGCCACTCTGTAAGCATCAAGAATCTATCTGATTTGTTAGGATTTATGAATTCATGGAAGGACACATTCCTGAACATTTTCCAGGGAATACCAACTTGATTTCACAGATGAAGGGAAAAAATAAGTATTTATAAAGGTCATCAATATTTATATCTAAACAATGTCTGGCCCTCTCCCTTCAATAATGCTCCAACATAAATTTCAGATACATTCAGCACATAAATCTATACCTGACCATTTCAATTTTTACTCCTCAGTTAACCTTTAAATGCAGCAGGAGGAGAATGGAAAAAATGCAACATAGCCGGAAGTAGTTGAGAGAATCTCTTTTTAATGTGTCAAATTTACCTGTGCTAACATATTGATTGCATCTGAATGGATTACAAGAAGAATGAATTTCCCATAAAGAATGATGTTCATCAAAGAAAACTGTGTTTCTGTGCTTATGCGAGTATAAGATATAGCTGCCAAAACACAAGGCAAAAACCCTTCAAATAAATATCATCTTTGTACCAGTATATAAGAGAAGCCAGAGGCCCCTCCTGTGCAAAAGCTGATGAGAAAGTAGATGAAGTGAAAAAACAGTGTAAGTAATAGTATTCTATAAAATAATAATAGGAAAAATAGGAAAAATAATAAATGCAATAATGACCGTCACTAAAACCAGTGTTACTTTAAAGACTCAAACCCTCCTTCAGTGCCTGGGTCTCATCCTCACTTCCAGTTCTCCAAATTGAAGCAAAGCATGTCTTGATATTCCCTCTCCTCAGCTCCTCCTGCTGCTACTTAGGAAGCCTAGGAATGATGTGGAAACATCTCTTTTTAACCCTGTGACAACTGTTTCAAGCATAGTGAGGTTTTAAAATGTATATACAAGGGTATTCACAGACAAGTGGGTAGAGAGAAAGCATTACCTGCTGACGAGCAGGGATACCTTGCCTGGAGGCACCCATCAGCCTGGAAGACCTGACCAAGAGGCAAGGAGAAGGGCATGCCAGCAGCGGGCACCGTGCCAATTACACTTGCCAAGCTTACTGACTCCACAGAGAGCCGCTCATGTCTGCAACCAAATACTGCAACCAAAAAAACCCAATGTGGGGGCCTGAATATATGTTGTATTGTAAGATCTGTGTGAGTCCGAGTTGCTCCAAACGAGCTGCAGCTGCAGGGTCCTTAGTTGGGCAGCAGCTGTAGCTCGTGAAGGTAACTGAAATAAATAGGG